CGAGGGCTAGGTACTCATTTCCAAGATTAATGGTCATTGAAACCGTAAGGAGTTCTGGGTGGCAGAGGCTGCTGTGTGGTCAGCGTCTGCTGCGAATGGAGGGGCTAGACCTGGGGGTGGGAGTAGGAGGGGAGAGTGGGATGGGATGAAGGTCCAGGTCTGGCTGGTCTGGCCACCGCAGCTGCTCCTGCTAATGACCTTTTGGCCTGAGACAGCCATCTGCACCCACTGTGTCGCTGGCCCCCTCTGAGCCTCTTTTCTCCCTAAAGGAGAAGCATGACCAGCTCACAGGGCTCTTGTGAGGCTCTGGTGAATGGAGGGTTGCTGCGGGGATTAGCAGTGTCACCTGATCGCTGACCCTCCCCCATCGCCACCTCCCGTCAAGGTCATGAGCGGGTTCCATAAACTGGTGTGCACTGATCCGAACAGCTAAAATACCTCCTGGTATTTTTAACAAACCATGGGTCTCTCTTGACTCTGTTCTTCCTGCCCTGTGCCCCTCCCTTGGGACATAACTCTCTGTCCCTCTTCCGAGAGTGGGAGGGGGGACATTCCCTCACGGTGCTGTAATGACGACAACCATAGCCACCCTTAATTGCATACTAAATGCTATGCGCTGTGCTAAGAGCCTTCATCGAGTGAGCCTTTCAGGCATGACCACTAACACCCCCATTTTATAGATGAAGAAATCGAGGCTTTGCTAAATAAAAACTCAGGACTCTGCTGATATAAGTGACAAAGCCAGAATCAGTCTACACCTATAGGACTCTCTGACATCCGCATTTGACCATCTCCCTGGATTACTAGCTCCCAGGAGAAGGGGGAGGTCTTTACCTCCTGCTGCAACCTAGGGACTGGATCTCTCTCCTCTGTGTCTATGGATGAGCTTTTGGAAAATCTTTTGTGATGGGGAGAAGCAGGCAGTCACCGTGGCTGGGGGAAACACATTGATTGCTAGTGTATATTTGCACACAGCAGAGCAGGATATCAACAAAACCACTGAGCTGTCAAATTCTGAGTTGCCATTTTGGCCTCCGGGTGGAGAGCTCTCCCGGTGCCGTAAACACTGTCAGAGGTGGTGGCCTCTGGGCCTGCCTGCCTGCCTGCTTCCCTACTTTCTAGCTGTGCACCCTTGCAAAAATGACTTCACGTCTCTCTGCCTGAGCGTTCTCAGCTACAAACTGCAGTCACCATCACATTTTCTGTGAGCACTTGGAGCTGTGTCTGCACATGTTCGGGCTCTGTGTTTGCTAGAATGGCTTCTGTGTAGCAAGCTTGGCACCTCCCCTCACATTTCCTTTCTTAAAGGAGGCATGTGAAGTGGAAAACACTTTCCAGAGTGGGGCTTCGGTGCTGGCTCTCCTTTTACATTGGTACTGATGTCGTCACCCCCTCAGCTGAGCCTCTGTTTCCCCATCTGTAACATAAGTTGATGAGGCATACCCCTGTGGTAGGCAGAATAACGGGCCCCCCCAAAGGTCTATGTCCTAATCCTCAGACCCTGAGAATGTGTGACCTTATGTGGCAGAAGAGATTTTGCTGGGGAGACTAATAAAATATGACTATTTTGATAATCCTGGATTATCGGGGAGGGGTGCATGTAGTCACAAGCATCCTTTAAGAGGAAGGCAGGAGGGTCAGGGTTGGAGAAGCGGATGGGATAGTGGAAGCAGCGGTCAGAGTGATATGGGGCCAGGAGCCAAGGGTACGGGCAGGTTCCAGAAGCTGGAAAGGGCAGAGAAATGGATTCTCCCCCAGGAGGAACATAACCCTGCCGGCCCCTTGACTTCAGGGCGGGGAGTCCCATTTTGGACTCCTGATCCCTCATTCTGTAAGATGCTAAATTTGTGTTCCTTTAAGCCACTAACATGGAAGTAATATTGTGGCAGGAGGAAATGAACACAAGCTCAAAGGCAACTTTCTAAAAGAAAAGCGTTTCTCTCCTGAGCAACTCGGGCTTTGGTTTCTTCCTTTCCCATCATGATTCTCAGCCTGTGACGTTCCCTCACTCTGAGATCTCCCCACGATGCCCTTCTCCTGCCAGTGTGGCTTCATCTGTCAGGGTTAGGGCTCCTGGCTGGGCTGACTCAGAGGCGGGTCATGCTGCATTAATTCCCAATTAAAACGTTAATCAAAATGGATCCAGCCAGTAGGCTGGCCCGGGTCCCAGCGTGCTGGACCGCCCAGAGATGCGGCACCTGCATGGAGAATCTGTCTTGCCTAGCTACCTGCTGTCCATCCTCATCACCATGCAACAGCGCCGGAAGGATCTCAGCCCTGTTTTGACAGCTGGGGCCGAAGATGTAGATGTAGCTGAAGATGTAGCTGCTGGGAGCAGGGCTTTTCCCTCCATCGCCACTTGCCCCCCCAAAAGAAAATGTGCCAGAGTCTCCATAAAAAGACCAAGTGGCCTCTGGAGCCTCCTTGTTCTGCTTCTGGCAAAATTACAGCAAATGCACATTTGCCTTCGACCGGGATGTGTTTTGGGGTGGGAGCCAAGGGTCCTTTTCTATTTGCCTCCTTGCAGCGGGGAAACTTGGGAGCACAGGCATCAGCGGAAGAACGAGCCCGGGGGGAAGGAAGCATCGTGGACCCGTGCAGCCAGAGGGGGACACCTGCGTTCTCAGTCCCTCCAGCCCTCAGGAAGCGTTAAGGCTGCAGCGTGTGTGGTAAGCAGTGGTGGCCTGGTGAGGAAGGAGGGAGAGCCTGGCTGTACTTGCCTGCCTGGGGAGACGCAGGTGTGGGGCAAAGTCCCCAGAGAGCAGGCACAAATCTGAGGCCAAATGTAGGTTCTGTCTGTGGCACGTTCCTTTGTGTCCCAATTTTGTTAACCACATACTGTCTATGTCATCAAAACGGCCCACAGTGATTTGAGTGCTTTGCCACTAGACTTCCCTGCCTACCCCTTCTCGTTCATTCTATGTGGCCACCATTTCCCACCCAAGGACTCCATTTCTGGGTTTAACAAATCAACCAAGAGTGGATTCCCAGACCCCCATGTCTTTGGCCACCGGAAGTGCTGATGTTTCATGATGTATTCAGACAGCCCAGTCAGGACACTTTTTCGGGGTGCGGGGGATTAATTCCTTCACTCTGATTTGAGTGTTTATGTCCTGCATCCAGGACACATTTCTCTGCTCTCACGTTCCCCGGGGGCATCTGGCAAGCCTCTTGCTGGGGCCCCGCTGTGTGTCCAATTTAGAGAATTCCAAGCAGCAGTGGGACTGGAGCTGGGCTCCCACGTCTGTCCTGACCAGGCTCCAGGGTGCCCCTAGCCTGGGTTCTTAAACTTTGGGACAGGGATCAAGGCTGCCTTGTTTCCAGCCTACTCACAGCTCCCCACGGGTTTGGAGCATATTTCATGACAGACATCTTTCCACTGGAATGGGCTGTGTTAGGGAATGACCCATAAGGTCCGTCCCCAGGGATCATCCTAGCCTGTATTTTGGACACACCTTCCTTCACTCCCCACTCAGCAGGGGCCTCTGCAGAGGTCTGAGACAGAAGACACCAGGGCCAAGCTCAGGTCTGGGAGAACCCAAGAAATTCACTCAAGAAAGAGAAAGGGCCCTGGCCACATGGCCCACAGCGTCCCGGGGCCCCAGCAGGTCAGACTTCCCTTGGAGACTTGCTCCCCACAGGGACTCTGACTGCAGTCATGTGTAGGGTATCAGACACACCCTAGTGAATAAACCTCTGGTCAGATTCATCGAGGCAGGAACCCCCCACCCCAAAATGAATCAGAGCAATTCCTGTTCCCTCATGGCACCTCCCCCTGCCCCTATCTCAAGGTACCAGCGACAGAGATGTCCGCATCTGGGTGACTTTGGTGGCTGGCACCCCGTAAGTGCTTCAGAAAATGCCTGCTGAACAGACAACTTTAATAAACCCTTCTCGGTGGGAGCCTGCCTTCATGGGTCGGGTTAGCTCAGTATTTCTCAACACTGCCTCTCCATGATCAGCCTCCCCTAAGGAGCTTTTTGAAGACATTTTCGTCCTATCCGAGAACCTAGTCCAGCTGTCCCGCTCTCTTTGGGAATGATTGCATTCTATGAATGGAGGAAATGCCATTCTGCTTCTGCATATACACCTGGGGGTTGCTGCAGTGGGGCAGCCCCGGACCTCCTCAAGGCAAGGGCTTGGGCTTGACCCCTACTCCTCTCTAAGCTGCAAGATGCTTCCCTCTGATCCCATCCCTCTGCTTCAGTGTTCTCGTCCCAGCTCAACACCTTACTAATTGCTCCCTAAATGAATGAAATAATGCACGTTGGGCCCTTGGCATAGTGAGCTGTGCATAGTAGGTGCTCAATCCCTCTTTGTCCAATCCATGAATGAAAGAACTTCTCTTTTCCTTCCTTACCCAAACACTCCTGTCCATCCAGGCTGAGCCCCTCCCGGGTATGGAGCCCCTGAAGCTGAGGAGGCGGCCACCCACTCTCCCTAGAAGATGCTAGAGCCTCCAGTGAACACAGCTGCCTTGGAATCCCCAGCGCCTAGCACACAGTGGGCGCTCGATAAAAGCTGAGTAAATGAATGAATGAGTAAATGAATAAAGCCCGCTGGTGGAGATGCTCCATTCTGTGCCCGAGGATGGAGTGAATAAGCCAGAGGTGGGCGCCCCCTCTTCCACCTCCCCTCAACACCCCCCCCCCCCCCCCCCCCCAGGATCCAGAAACCTCTGCCACAGCCAGGAGGCGCCCCCCGCCCCGTCACCTCGGCGGAGCACGTCCAGCACTTCGCACCCCGGAGATGGCTCGGAAAAAACTGAAGCCGGACCCGCACCGTGACGGCGGCGAGCGCGCCCCACGCCGCCGCCCGCAGCCGCTCCCCGGTCCCCGGTCGCCCCCGCCTCCCCGCCCCGCGGCTTTCGGTGCCCTTGCAGGGGAGCCGAGGGTTCACGGCCACGTGCAGCCCCCAATTCCCGAGCCCGAGCCCGAGTGTACAGGCGCTGGGGGCCGATCGGCGGCGCTCGGCGAGGCCGCCGCGCGCAAAGTTCCCACCTCAAGTTCCCGTCACGGCGTCCCCGCGGCGGAGTTGGCCCGGCCGCGGCTGCCGTCCCCCCGGGGCGGCCGGCGGGTCCCGGGCGAGGGCGCGAGCAGGGGCTGGGAGCCGCCGGGGCCGCCTCCCGGAGCCGCGGGCAAACTTCGGCCCCCGGGCCCGGCTCAGCTCCCGCACTCGGACCCTCGGCCACCCCGCCTCCGCGTCCCGGTCCCCTCCGGGCTCCGAGTGCGCCGGGAGCGCCGCGCCGCAGCCGCCGAGGGAGAGACGGGGCAGGAGGCGGGACGGAGGGAGGGGACTGCGCGCGGGGCGGGGAGAGTGGGCGCGCGGCGGAGAGCGCGGCGCGGGCCTCGTCCTGCTGCCGGGTTCCGGCGGGTCTCGCGCCCGGGTGGGCAGCGCTCCGACCCGGACCGCACGCCCGGGGCCTCCTGGCCGCCAGCTGCCCACCCCGGCCTCCCCCGCGCTCGCCGCCCCGGAGCCGTCCGCGCGCCCCCCCCCCCCCCCCCCCCCGGCCCCCCCCCCCCCCCCCGGGCCCCCCCCCCCCCCCCGCCCCGCGCTCCGGGGCCCCAGTGGCTCTGCATCCCTCGCGTCACGGCCCCGGGTCTACACGTGCCACGCGAAGTCCCCACGCTCCGCGGCCCCGGGGCCGCGCGCCCTTCAGCCTTCTGGGGGCCACATGTCGCAGCCTGTCGTGTGCTGTTCCCGCGGGGTCCTCGTGCCCCTGCGGGCCAGGGGCTGCAAGCGCCTGGCAGCGTCAACTTCTTAAGGACGGCACCTGCCCCTTCAGGCGTCTTTCCCTCCTGGTCCCCGTGGTCCGGCCGCCTGCACGCCTGGCCGACGCGGGGCACTCACACCCGGGCCTGGGGTCTCGGGTTCCCGGGGTCCAGCACCCCTTGGTGCACGGGCAGCCGGTCGGAAGCGACGGCTCGCTTCGAAATTTGAAGGAGTTGCGCTTTTGCTGGGGGTCGGGTTGGACGGCTTCCTCCAGAGCCACCGCAGGGCTGGCCTCTTAGGGTCCTTTGCCTCGCACCCTCCTTTCCTCTTTTCCTTGAAGTCTCTACCGCCTTTTCCCGCCGCCCTCGGAGAACCCAGAAAGGCGGTGAAGAAACCCCACTGTGGGCGGGGCCTGAGACCTCCCACCGAAGGGTGGGGAGCAGCCTCTGCAGGTGCACGCCCACGCTTTCTGGGACTTAAGGAAGAGAAATAGGGTTCGACTGTCCGTTCAGCAAATGGTGGCTTCCTGGGGCCGCAGAGATGACCACAACAGACAAGGACTTGTCCCCAAGAACTCACCTTCTGGCTGAATCATGAAAACCGCTGACAAGTATGATTGCAGTCTGTGAGGGGGGCAAGGAAGAAGCCAGAGCCGGGGGGGGGGGGTCGGGTACAGAATAAGGGAAAGACCAATTTCGGTAGACCGCTGAGGAGGGAACATTTACACAGCCGTGAACAAGGAGCATCTGGTAAGAGAGCTTTCCAGGGGGATGGAATGGCGAAGGCAATGATCCTGCAGCAGGAAGGAGAGGGACGCATCTTTGAGGGACGGCGGGGACAGCAGAGAGAGGTGCTGCGGAGGGTGTGTAGGAGAGGTCTTCCTATCTGTATGTGCTTTGGCGGTCAGGTGGTCCCCGGAGCACACTTTGAGGAACAAGCCCTATGTGGTGGCTCAGGTCCCTGTCTTCCTCTCCTGTCTGAAAATGGGCATTTATGTCTTTTCTTTTTTTCCTTGCATATTGTCTGTCTTCCGACTAGACATGAAGCTCCATCTATGTACTATCCTTCCAGCATCTTCCACACTGCCAGGCACAGACAGACCAGGTTCCTGAAATTATTGAAGGAGGAACACTCAGGACAATCCTTTGAGGGTAGATTTGATCATCCCAGGGGCACATATGACTTGTTGGGGAGCACAGGACGAAGACAGAATTGCTACCCCCCACTCCCTGCCCGATTTCTGACTCAGTAGTTTGGGGTGGGACCCTTCTAGTAAGTTCTCTGGTCATTCTGATGCTTCTAGTCTGGGACTTTGAGAACCATTGATGTTGAAGACTTGAAGCTCATCCCAGCTGGGTCTGATTTCAAAACTGACATGATCTATGAGATCCAGTGGGGGTGTAGGGTCAGCTGGACCTTATGAGCACTCCTGGGAGAGGGGTACTGTCCCTTGGGGTTGGGCCTATCAGAACACTATGTGCTTGAGTCGAGTGTTCGGGTGACCTGTGGACAGAAGACTCTGCATCACTGGATGGAGACCATCAGTAGGGACAGTCCTTTCTTCCCACACCCCCCAATGCACCCCCTGACACAGACTCACTTGTTGTGCCCAGGAGTTACATTACCGCCTGATCTTATCTCTGACTTGTACTAAACTATGTCCAATAAAATCCTTTTAAATCCTTTTAAGGAATTCCCTCTTTGTAGTTCCTCCCTCCGTTTAGAGCCTTCCAGATTTTCAGCTCTTCTCTTCATATCTTCATTTCCCTCCTAAGAAGCATTCCTTCCCAAGCTGTTGTGTGGAAATGCACATTGATGATGCCAGGGAAGGTTTTTCTGGAAAGATGAACCATCGATGCTTGCTGACTACCTGCTAGGGGCCAGGCAGGTTGCTGGGCGGTTTGTAGGCATCAGAGGCACAAAATGGGTTCTGGCTCTGGCTCGAAGACCCGTTTTCTTTGGCTCTGCGGGATTAATTTTTTTTTTTTTTTTAAATCATGAATTAGTTGCCAGCCTTTAAAAATCGGGAGATTTCACATGACATTTTTTCTTTTGAAACACTGAGAGATCTGGCTGATATCCCTCAAGTGAGTGGCGAGCTGCTGCTGGGCTGGGGACACCCCTTTGCCTCAGCCCGTGGGCCCCTCAGCCCACATCATGTCCTTCGTGCAACCAGGGGGTCCCCGGAAGTGTGAGCTGGCGGACTGTCTAGGGCCACACAGTCAATGCAGAACTGGATCTGAATCCAGGCCTGTCTGACCTAAAGCCCAAGCCCGTCATGGGCAGAAAGCTGCTATCAGGACGGGGGCAGGAGTCTGGGGGTTTCTTGGCCCCGAGAAACACCTTAAAAGGGAGTTACTGTCAGTGGTTTAAGCATATGGTTTCCTTCCCATTCATAACCAACTTTCAGTAAGTCATAAAGCTCCAGGTTGTTTTTCCATGGCAGGAAGGGTTAGCCAGAGCTGTCCAAAATTTTTATTATCCATCCCCCCACCCCTTGAGATGGGAGGGCTTCGATTTGCAAGACAACTGGCAACAGGACAGGAGTCTGGAGAGTGGGTGACAGGTGGGATCTTTCTCCCTTGGCTCTCCTGGCAGGGGACTTGCCTGGATGTCTGCGGGATGCACACCCAGTGGGAAGAGTGCTGCTTGGGAGTGGGGGTGGGGTGGGGTGGAGGGCCTTCACGGGGCCACCTCCCACCTCGGCCACTTCCTGGCATTCTGCCCTAGGCATTCTGCTTTTGTGTGCCTCAGACACCCCAAGCAAGCTCTGTCCTGGTGCCTGGAGTGACCTGTGCCCAGTTTTCCAGGTAACCAGTTCGTCCCGGTCTCAGTTGTCCCGTTGGGACTGCCGGCCTGGATCAGGGCGTGGAGGGTGAGGTTGGGAGCGCAAGGGTGCGGCTGTATTCAAGTATTTTTATAGTTAGTATTTTGTTCATCATGGATTTATTTTGCACTGAATTTTGATTTTAAAAAGTACTGTATCAAGATGTTATTTATCTTGATTGCTGGGCTTAAGTGCCCCCTTAAGTTCTGTACCCCAAGTGAGTGCCCCCCAGCTGGGTAACTAGTCCGGGGTGCTCCCAAGCACTGGCAGTCAGGAGAGCTGGGTTCTGGTTCAGGTTGTGCTACTAGACGAGGTGTGTGAATGGATACACGTCCCCTCTGTGGCACCCTGAGCCTCTCAGCTGTACCATCTCTCCAGGGAAGAGGCTGTACCTGACTCTAGTTCTAGATCCATCCAGGACACCCAGGAGAGCTCTGATGGATCGTACATTGTGTGCTTCTCCTGGGGGCTTTGCTGAACTCTGGTCATTATGGGATGCCACGGTCCTTTTGTGGGAACCCCAAATGAGCCGTTCCTCTCTGCAAGAGCAAATTTTCATGGCTGCTGTCAACAATGGGCACTGATGTTCTTGGTCATTTTCCCTGTCCTGGGGGCAAATGTCTGTTTTGGAAGTGTGAATCTACACCCTATTCTTTGATGTTTTACTTTTTGTTCTTTGGTTTCATTCATTGGATCATGTGACATGCATTCATTAAGACCCTTCTATAAGCCGAGCACCGAGCATGCACTCGGGAAACAAAAGACATTTCCAGCCCTAGGAGAGCTTACATTCTAGTGAGGGAGGCCACACAGATGCAGATCCGTGTGTTGTGAGCAGTCCGCGAGGTAGAGGACTCGCCGCCCACTTCAGGCCACACGGAGAGAACGCGGCGCTGTCCTCTCTCCTGGGAGGATCCTGTGTCCTCAGTGCCACCTCTAAACGCCATCAGCCCAGCGCAGCAGATGATTGTCTTCCTAATAGCCTCTCCTGGAGGGAGTGCTGAACGGTTACATTTTGGATCCACATTTGAACTCCGAGCTAGAGCTTCCACTGTCTTCTAGTTCCCCTTCTCCTTGAATCCCAACTCTGGATTGTGGTTCATTGCTTAGTTTTTCCTAGTCCTGACAGCCCTCAAATCCCATCTCAAAACGCACCTCTTTCTTTGGCTTTCCTCCACTGCCCCAGCGGCCCTCGGGAGACTCTCCCTCACTCTTGTCCAAAGCCTTTATCAACTAATAGGTGCTCTGCCTGGAGCTTAATGATGGGTCTAGAGTTCCTTGTTGCTTTAGCTCACCCAGGTGTTGTGATTTTTGCAGGGACAGGCTACTTGTCTGGTACTCGGTAACAGCTGGGAGGGATCTGTCCCCCCAGCTCCCAGGATGCAAACCGATATACCTTGCTAGGACTTCCATGTTTTTAAAAAATGATGAATTATATGCCAATATTTATAAATCGGGAGATCTCACATAAAAGTCTGGATTTCTGGCATCCCTTGAAAACACAGAAGATGTGCCAACTCTGAACCTTATATTCCTCCCTGGCAAAAATTGGCTGGAGCTGGTAGCAACTTTTCCTTTAGATGGAGATGGAGCTTGGGTTCTCTGGTTTGCCACAGTCCTCACTACTCCTTAATGTCTAACAGGGGCTCCGTTTACTCATCCAGTTTATGCCCCCCATAGGTATTTGAGATTTTAACCCC